TGTTAGGGGGCTCAATTCTAATATCAACGCAGTCCACTACCATTTAGAGACTGCGAAGCCGGCCTTGCTCTTTCTTACCGAGACTCAGATTTCCTCCCCGGCTGATACTTCCTACCTCTCCTACCCAGGGTACAAATTGGAACATTCATTTGTGCCGCGGGCAGGAGTTTGCGTGTACGTCAGAGAGGATATCTGTTCTCGTCGCCTCGGGACGCTTGAAGGAAGGGACCTATCTAACCTCTGGCTGCGCGTAGACTGCGATGACCATCCGCGATTCTATGCATGCCTGTATAGGTCCCATAGCGGAAATACCGAAACTGACCGACTCATTGAGCACATCCAAATGGCTACAGACTCCCTGCTCGAAAGGGTTCCTACCGCTGAAATCGTGATACTTGGCGATTTTAACGCCCACCATGCCGATTGGCTCGGCTCAGAAACCACCGATCATGCGGGAAGATCCTTTCACGACTTTGCTTTGGCTTATGACTTGACGCAAATGGTTCCTGCGATTACGCGAATACCAGATGTGGCTGGTCATAAACCCTCTTTGTTGGACCTTCTGCTGACTTCACATCCGGAGAACTACCAAGTCTCTGTTGAACCGCCATTGGGTTCATCAGATCATTGTGTGGTCCGGAGCATTGTGCCGTTCACGCGCCCTCTTTGGCCTAGCTTCACGGGCTGTCGCCGCGTGTGGCACTATAAGTCAGCAGATTGGGATGGGATGCGGTCTTTTTTGCGTCCTACCCTTGGGGGCCCATTTGCTTTTCGTCGAGTACTCCAGATGCCGTCGCTGACTCTGTCGCCGAGGTGGTCCTGCAGGGTATGGAACTCTTTATTCCATTCTCTGCGGTGCCGGTCGGTGGCAAGTCCCAACCTTGGTTTAGGCGTTCTTGCAAAGCGGCTTTGCGCCGTAAGCGTGAATGCTTTAAAGCCTGGGCAGAAGCGGTGACATCCTGTGATGTGACTATCGGCGAACGTAAAAAAGCATACAATTCAGCCTCCAGGTCCTTCAAGCGAGAAATCGCTAAAGCAAAGTCAGAGCACATTGCCAGATTTGGTGAGAAATTGGCCCACCTCCCTTCGGGAACTCGAGCCTTCTGGTCTCTTGCCAAAGCTGTCCAAGGGAATTTCTGTCAGCCCTCAATTCCACCACTGTATAGGGAGGATGACTCACTTGCCCATACCGCGAAAGAGAAGGCCGATCTTCTAGGCTGTCTCTTTGCGTCGAACTCCACTTTGGATGATCAAGGGAAGGAACCACCGACATTATTGCGGTGTGATACTACGATGCCCGAAGTTATATTCTGGCAACGTGCTATCCGTAAAGCTTTATCTTCCTTGGACATCCATAAGTCGAGCGGGCCTGATGGCATCCCTCCAATTGTGCTGCGTACTTGTGCTCCTGAGTTGGCTCCGGTCCTAACGCGCCTTTTCCGGTACCTTTACACGCTCGGCACTGTTCCGAAGTGCTGGAAGATCGCTTCGATACATCCGATCCCTAAAAAAGGCGATCGCTCTGATCCGTCCAACTATCGCCCAATAGCTATAACCTCCTTGTTCTCCAAAATAATGGAAACCATTATTAACAGCCAGCTCTTGAGGTATCTAGAGGGCCACCAGCTGATTAGCGATTCTCAGTACGGCTTCCGTCGTGGTCGCTCGGCTGGTGACCTCCTTGTATACCTTACACATAGGTGGGCAGAGGCAATTGAGTCCAAGGGGGAGGCGCTGGCGGTAAGTTTGGACATAGCGAAAGCCTTCGATCGGGTGTGGCACAGAGCACTGCTCTCGAAGCTTCCAGCCTATGGGCTCCCTGAGAAATTATGCAACTGGATTTCCAGCTTTCTCGCTGATCGGAGCATCAAAGTCGTCATCGACGGAGCATGCTCCGACCTGAAACCTGTGAATGCTGGTGTCCCACAAGGCTGTGTCCTATCCCCGACCCTGTTTATTCTGCATATCAATGATATGTTGCAGCTTAGCAACATTCATTGCTATGCGGACGACAGCACTGGGGATACTTTTTACACTGGCCGGGCAGGTATTTCTCGGGCTGTTGTCGATGAGTACCGGAACAAACTTGTGTCTGAAGTCGAAACTCTTCTACGTGGAGTCTCGGACTGGGGTAAACTAAATCTAGTCCAATTTAACCCCAAGAAGACACAAGTATGCGCGTTTTCCGCTAAAAAAACTCCCTTTGTCGCTACTCCCCTCTTTGAAGACACTCTCCTTAAAGCCTCAGCTAGCATCGGAATACTGGGCGTTGACATATCGAATAACGTTCAGTTTCGCGGTCATCTGGAAGGAAAGGCTAAATTAGCCTCCAAAAAGCTTGGTGTGCTCAGCAAGGCGAGACGGTACTTCACTCCGGGCCACCGCTTGCAACTTTATAAAGCGCAAATTCGGCCCCATATGGAGTACTGCTCTCACCTCTGGGCGGGAGCTCCCCAGTACCAGCTCCTTCCACTTGACCGTATTCAACGAAGAGCGGTTCGAATCGTCGACGACCAGTCACTTTCCGTGCGGCTTGATCCCTTGGCGTTGCGTAGAGATGTGGGATCTCTCTGCATCTTCTACCGCATTTACCATGGAGAGTGTTCAGAGGAGTTGTTCGGTCTAATACCTGCAGCTGAGTTTCATCATCGGACGTCAAGGCAAAATACAAAATACCATCCGTATCACCTCGACGTCCGTCGTTCCACAACAGAGCGTTTTCTAAGGCAGTTTTTGCCGCGCACCACCACTATGTGGAACCAGCTGCCCACAGAAGTATTTCCGAACCAATTCGACTTAGGGTCCTTCAAGAAAAGAGCGTACCAATTCCTGAAAGGCCGGCAACGCACTTGCGAGCCTTCTGGCATTGTGAGTGTCCATGGGCGGCGGTATCACTTAACATCAGGTGAGCCTCCTGCCCGTTTGCCTCCTATTACATAAAAAAATAAAAAAAAATAAAAAAAAAAATTAATACTTAACATAATTTAGCATATCGATCGTACTTATCCCGTTATCGATATGCACCTCTACAATTGTTACGCACATCACTACACCTCTCCATAAGACCTGTAAGTGCGAGACAGATAAATATGATTTATGACCCGAAGCCTCACTTCATAATGCGTCGACTAAATAAATTTTATTCGAACAATAGCTGGGGAGCCCAAGAGGAGATTTCAGGATTTACTACAGCGTAGCAGATTAATATGATCCTTGATACCTTGTACCCGGTTAAGTATCTCTACCATATATGAGCCCCATATACAGGGTGGTTAAAAAGTCGTGGATCAAACGCAAATAGGGGATAGATGAGGTCATCAGCTGCAAAAAATTGTTCTACGGGAGGTCTCTAAGCTCAACCCTTGCAGAGTTATAATTAATTTTGCATTTTTATAAGAAAATTGACTTTTTTTTACAAATTCTTATTATTATTCGAAAAAATCTACACCTGTATCTTTTTCATAATATCCACTAGATTGGTACTGATGAGTTCTTGCGTTAGACATACTATTTATATTTGGTTATTGAGTGTATTGAAGATAATATTAAGTTATACGATATTTTTTTTTTAAATCATAACTTTTTATTTACTTCGGACCTTGCTTTATGTCTTTATTAACATTAATCCATTATCAAATATTCAGTACTTCAGTTGTTAGCTGTAAGCTGTGCAGTGTGCTAGTCTTAACAGAAATACATACATATATATATATATATATACATTTTTATCGCAACACATAATCCACCTAGTCTGTGCGGGAACGTGTTTGACGGTGCGCTAGTAACAGTGCTATTCTGATAAAAATTGGATACTATATTCTATTTGTAGTTTGAAACAGAGCAGTTAGTGGGACTGCGTGACTGTGTATGCATTAAGTAATCAACGTTATTTAAGTTAAACTGGGAGGTTTTATAACACGTAAGTAATGCTGTGTAAACAAATAAAGAATTAACTTATTAAAATTCTTATTTTCTTGTTATTATTTAAAATTAAAAGTAATGTTTGTTCAGTAGGTTTTGTTTTCATTAAATTATTATTTAGTTAATAATAAAGAAGTTATTTAAACTATTAAAAGAACATCGGATGATCGACCTTCCAAATTTCTTTTTAAAGTACGCGGGAACTTAGTAAGCCCCCAAGACCTTAAAACATGATTCAGGAAAATACCTACCTATACAATTAGTTTATTTTACCATGTTATGTACATAATATAATGTATACAGACGTTTCATAATGACTCAATATTTATGTAGGAGGTATTTGTAGTACGTTTAATCTAATATTTAATGTAGGTATATGTATATACTATATGTTTGTATATGTAATTGCTAGTTTGATAAGCTTACTGAGCAGTAGTAGCTTAAAGATTAAGTAATTTAATTTAAAATTAAGTAGTTTATACTGAATAAGGTAGAGACTCAACAATAACCAAAATAAAAGACGAAACGTTTAATTTCTAGGTTTATATTGAAATCATAGAAATACAAACGCTTTCCATACATTAGGAAACATGGCAAAATACTGAATGTCGCGAGTACATTGCAAATTGTTAAATTGCGTTTAAATATTAAAAATTATAGTTCGACTAGGGGACGCCACATGGACTTCCGATTGCTCAAAACTCAAATGCATATGAACTACGAAATAAGTGTTTTTGTCGGTATGAGTAATTTTCAACCAACTTCTCAAAAGGAGCAGGTTCTCGAGTTATTTTCTTAAAATAAAATGAATTATCTTTTAAATGTATGTATACGCCATTTGATAATTTTAATATTTAAATAGAAAACATCAACACATTATTTTTTTACAATTTAAGTCTGTATTTTACTATAAAATAATTAACCAGAAACGACATGTGAAAGACCCGTTAAATAATCTTTGACCAAGTTTTGCTAAACATTCAAGTTTACATTTGAACGTAGATTAATCATTATAAGACAACAAAAAACTTCTGAAGAAAAATGAAAATAATTCTCAAAGTTGGTAATTTTTAGGCACAATGAGGACATTGATTATTTTCGCTATTTGTCTAATTTTGTACGGAGAGTGCAAGCTATTACCTAAAGGGAACCATCATGGTAACTGGATAACTAACGAAATATCTACAAAGAAGATCCATCACGCTGGACCTCCAGATCACACTAAGCTTGTTGCTATGGCCAGATATGTCCTCCACAATTCCAGTATGTATTTAAATAAATATTTATATTAGATGGGTTTTATGATAAGCCTCCGATCTGAACTTTTCAAACAAACAATCACGAATAAGTGACGCAATTAGTAGGTTCCCATTGAGTATGAAGTACGGGTATTACCCTATAGTAGCCCTAGATGGTCTTTATTCAGATAGTTTCAAAATTCTTCGAGTAATCGGGAAACATACGTACATATAAAATATAAAAAATAGTATCGTCGCGTTAATCACTACTTTAAATAAATTTATATGTAGTAAAAAGAAAAAAGGGCTTTGTACGATTACTTTCCGGGAACAGATAACGAAAAGTGAAATGTAGTCACTTGTTGTAATTTTAATTCACATTTGATCCCATACCCCATCATATTCCCACACGCAATAAGTGTACATTTTAACTATGCTTTTTTAGTTGAAATATGATACCAATTAAAAGTTACATAGTCTTGAAGTGGAACAGACAAAATTGTATTACTGGATGTGTTATTTATAGAAAAATTTAAAGAAGGATTTTTTTTCAGACTGGGCGTCTATAGCTACCATATCAGTATTGCCGGCTATTGAAGGATTTCCGTTTTCAAACGTTAAATCAATTGTTGACGGGTCTCTTGCTAACTCTACTGGAATTCCATATTTTTATGTATCTCCTCTGGACTTCACGGCTCGGGATTTGACGGTATATTTTAATATTATTTTTGTTTTTGCATAGAAGTACAAAATACCCTCAGTGAGGCCGACAAGACACGTTAACGTTTCACTTCACTAATAATTTGTCCTCAAGTATTTTACATGGTTTCTTGAGAAGAAAGTTAAATATAAATTATTTTGTTTAGAAAAACAGTCGTGCCACGATATTGGTTACTTTGGAGGAAACACGATTCTGTGAAAACCAAAAATATGACCCCGAAGACCCGCGTTGCACCCGTCTTATGCTGTCCGGGAAAATGAAAAAGGTTTGTTATGTAAACTATATTTTTAAAGCGGAATATTAAACAATATATAATTGGTGTATTAGTTAGGATTGAAGTATAAGATTCATTCTGGGAAAGAATAATCAATTTTGGGTTTAGTTAAGAGATAAACATTACTTGTTTTAAATATACCCAAGGCACATATATTTTACTACATTGTTCATAGATTTTTATCCATATAATATGTAGTATGTAAGTTTTGCACGTTCCTGCATGTTTTCAATTCATAACAGGATTGCCTGGAAGAGATGACTTGTGAAATTCATTTCAAAACATTTCCTACGTTTAGTATTTGTTTATCGTTCGAAGTAATTATTATTATTATTTAAATTCCTATAAATCTTTATTAAAAGCTATAATTGAAATACAACGCACTGATTATTGTTTATCATTTTAGGTAAACTCTTAATCGAAACACGAGTTTATTCACGTCTCATTTATCAGGGGTTATCTATATAATTTTGTAAAATCAAAACCGTCTTCGTGGCTTATTCTTATCGCATTCGTATAACCAGGACCGCCTGAGTTAGATTTTTAATATTTCTATCGCCCTGGCAAAGGGTGATCACCTACTTGTTGATTATAAAACATACACATTTACTAAATAAATTAGCCTACTAATACTCAAATGTTGTATTGTTAAATGTTTGTTTTTAAGTATGTATTAAATCAGTGTTTCTTGATTTCTCGATCAAGCTTTATATATCGACTTAATGTGTTTTAAATCAGTAAAACAATAATTATTTCTCAAACAATTATAAGTCAATTGTGTTAAGTACTAGTAACTAAATTGTGTTAAAATTATATTAGTAAGTCTGATTTATGATATAGTAATTTGTACGATTGTACCTAACATCTAATCTCCGCAAACCAAAAGTACCTACACAACATTCTTGCCGTCTATGGAATCATTATATAATAATCTATGCAAAGGCAATCCAGTCTACCGTTCCACTTTCACCGCCCAAGTTTACTCATTGCAAGCAAAGAACCATACAAAAATCCTAGTTATACGATTGGGATGGAACATTTTTTTAAATACACACTAAAAAATTTACATTTTATGAACAATTATGTTGTGTAGATATGTAATGTAAAAAAATGTTAAAAATCTGTTCAGTAATTTTAAGTGGCAGTTAAAACAACGCTCGTAATATTTTTCTTATGCAATAAATATGTTTGAACAAAAATGTTAAAACAGAACATTATTATTCCGACAGGTCAAAGACGGCTCTCCCGAGTATGAATTTGCGAAGGCCGCTTTGTTCGAGAGACATCCGGCGATGGCGACTTGGCCAACTGGTTTGTATTTATTGCCAATATTATTTACATTTTCAAAAAGAGAATGTTGTGATTACCTTGATGAATATATTTTTAATGGAGTAAAAGTTATCGGATGTTATACGTAAACGTACTTAATTTACTTGTTTGTTATACAATACAAATTCTTAAATCATTGAATTCAAAATCAAAATCAAAATACGTTTATTCAATTTAGATGCTTCTTAGAGCATGCTTATGAATGTCAACAACGTTTACAAAATTCACGAAAGAGCAAGACTACGCCATCCGTTCGCAAAACTACCAGGAGGCCTTGTTCTGAGAAGAACGGGCAAGAAACTCAGCAAGTTTGCCCTCCCTTTACATTACAATTATTCAAAGGAAAATGTCATAAACCACAACGTCATTAAAATTACATAAGTAAAAAAAAATAAAAAATCTGTTCTGTGATTTACCACATTCACCATTACACACATATTCATAACACTTCAAAGATAACAAATCAAATTATAAGAATATAATTAGAACTATTGCCAAGCGTTTTTATCTTCCAGGTAGTCATTGACTGTGTAGTAACCTTTACACATTAAGGTTTTTTTGATGTGTGTTTTGAATCTGTTTAAAGGCAGTTCCAATATTTCACTAGGAATCATGTTATAGCAGCGTATACTTAGGCCCATAAATGAAGTATTTATTTTCTGCAACCTGTAAGACGGCTGGAAAAGTTTTCCCTTATTTCTTGTATTCCTATTGTGAATGTCGCTGTTCTTTAAAAGAGAACTAATATTACTACGCACAAAAACGATACAGTTGTAAATATATTGGGAAGGTACCGTCAAAATATCGATTTCCTTGAACAAATTTCTAAGTGAAGTGCCTGGTTTCAAGCAATAAATTGACCTAATAGCACGTTTTTGCAAGTGAATTGAAATTACATATATGCTTGAAAAATGTATTCCATTTTCCTTTCCAACTGAGCTTTAAAATATTAAAGCGAAAGATATATTAAAATTGGTATTGCAGATATTTATTTGTATCATTATAATTAACATTAAACTTTTTGCTAAATATGAACTTGCTTATTTGTTATAGTTTTATTTTTACTAGCTGTTACCCGCGGTTTCACTCGCGCTGATTTGAGTCCCTCTTAATAGGTACATTATAAATGCCAGCGGTCACTATTTGGTTGCGTAGTCCTTTTAATATCTAATATATATCTCTCCAATGTTGAACCTAAATCAGGTTTATTGAACGCAAATGACCTCGGGGGCAATTTTGTTGTATAAATAGCATATTAATTTGGATAAGTATCAAATCGTGCTTATAAAACACCTTCAAAATTTTTTTTAAACGATATTGCAATAATATCTTTACTGAGTTTACAATTTTATAAATTCATTATTTGCGAATATTGAAATTACACAAAGATAACAAGCACCGATAAGCCAGGGTCAAGGTCCTACATTTTGACGTGATCCTCAGGTTTAAGAATATTTAAAATAGTTTTTGTAAACCAAACTGGTTTAAATATGTAATTATAAAAAAATCATTATTCATACTTACGTAATTTGCAATGTTTCAAGGCATACGTATTACGCACGTCTCTCCTTCCTGTTTGCTTTTATACAAGGATATTTTAGCTTCTAATAATGTTTTTCGTATAGTATTCACAAATATTAGTTTTTTACAATTATATTAATTATGATTATTTTTGTATTGTCGTTTATTGCGAAGTGATGATCTCACAATTGATTCGTGTAAAATCCTATAATTAATTATTGATGCATTATTTACATGGCTCATACCAAATTGTTTTTCAACGTTCGTAAGATACAACACACTAAAGTTTACCTGTTGTTAATCAGCAAATTTTTCGCATGATTTAAAAAATTACGTTTTTCAGACCACGACTGGTTTATCACCAAAATGAAGATCGCCCAAATAGCAATGGTGGACTGGTTCGGCGGTGCCAAATATATCCCTGTTAAAGACTACCTCGCTTACAACTACACTGGCACTGAAATGCTGCAACATTACCGCCAAGGGCATCATGTAGCCCTTTAAGGCAAAACAGGTCAAATATTGGTTTCGGATTAGGAATATTGTTCTATATTATATTCATTGGTTATATAGTTTTCTATAAATAGTAGAGTCGAGTCATTAAATGTGTCGGTAATTTTTAGGTTTTCATACAAGATTTTTCTGCAATTTCTTGCCAAATTACATCCTGGTCTTTTAAATGTCACATTATATTCATTTAAGAAGTATATTTTGTGGTGTTTAACATGTAGAGGAATTAAACACATTCCTGTAGTGTTAGGTTTTTTACTTTCATACATTTCGACTTATGTTAGATTTTCACTTGTATAAAAAATAAAGCGGTATAAATATAAATAGTTTTATTTAATACAATATTACAATCTTTAATACAAATTTATTTTGTAATTTACAAAAATGTAAAGAAATATAATTAATAAATGTTAATGATTTTGTGCAAGATATATTATTATTGATAAGATATTTTTAAATCATAATAAGATTTATGACACAAGATTCATTATTTTTGAATCTAGTACAGTCTTTTTTACAGGCAATTATAATTATCTCCCTTAACGCCTTACGCTTTAGTTATATTCTATAACACAACATGAGCATATTAAAAATGGAATATAGTAATATGGTGGCTACAAAGTAGCACAATACATATGTATGTATGGGTTTGTATAAAGAACCTAAGCAGCTCTTCGTTTGACTTTCGAACTAAAAAGCAGAAGTTCTTAAATCCGTTTTCAACTTTCCTTCAAAACTATATATATAGGGAAAATCGACGAATTCACAAAACTGACTACTGTAGAAGACACAATACTGAATGGCGCGTGCGTTTCTCTGCCCAGGTAAGTTCATTATGGTTTACAAAATAATTTAACTAATTATAATAATTGCACTTTTCCATTGCAATGAACGCAAGAGGCGACGGGTGGCGCGATGTTACCACCACTCGTATATGCATGCTGTACTAATGCATTCACTGGCTCTTCACTCAGTTGTTTTATATCCACTGGCATTGCCATTACCTTAAAACATTTATTTTGATATTAATTATACCATAAAAAGTATTAAACGCGATTTATAAAATCACCATAAATCACCATAAATCCGGACTCCGGAACATTTGGCGCCTGTTTCACCAATATATTTTTGTCGTACCCAGTTCTATGGGCAATATTCGACTAGACTTTTTGCTAGTTAGGAAAATATTGGTTTAAAAAGCAACTTAAGACCACTAAGCTATGGATACAGTCTTTATGGCAAAACATTATAATAGTGTTAAACATATTATTTTAAGTAAAATTAATCTACTTGGTTATAATCATGCTAGGCTTAATAAGTACTGATTAAATATATTATTATTGAATTAAATCAGATCTATACCTAAAAGATAAGATAAAGATTATGCTTTTTAAGTACCAATATTTATACTAATATTGAAGAACATTGAACAACAATGTTCCACAAGAAATTTATGACAGTACAGAAGGACAGAGTACACATGTAATGTAGAGCAGTGTTGGCCTATTGGCTTTAGCGTGACTCTCATCCCTGACGTCGTAGGCTCGATCACTGGCTATGCCGCAATGGACATAATATCTATGCGCTTTTAACATTAGCACAAACCGTGGAGGAAAACATCGTGAGGAAACCGGTTTGCCTTAGATCCAAAATCGACGGCGTGAGTCAGGCACAGAAGGTGCCGATCACCTACTTGCCTTTTAGATTGACAAATGATCATGAAACAGATACAGAAATCTGAGGCCCAGACCTAAAAAGGTTGTAGCGCCACGCCACCACTTTATTTTTAAATAGTAAAACAACTAACCTGTTCAGCAAATTTCTCACCATCAGTGATAGATGGCAAATTATCCAAATGTGCAATATCTTGTTTGCACACATCACTGCTTATATTTTCCGATAACTTCATATTTACTGATGACATGTCAATGACATTCGTTGAGTGTGGCATTGTAGCATTGAAGTTGAGATTGCCAATGGGCCGATTACAAAGTTTACTGCTTCCCATATATTCAGAGACAGTAATATTTTCCAACCATTGTTCATGTAAACTGTATAGATTTTTGTATGTACAGAGCATCATGTCTCTAATTCTGCATCTTTCATCCAATAATTGTTTGATTCCTTGTTGTAAATTTACAGTTTTCTCATTAAGTATCTTTTTGCATGCGGCCAATTCTTCAATTAGCAAACTGGAATAGAAATGTCTTTAAAATATTAAGCAGTAAGAGTTAAGTTAAAAAAAAAACAGATTTAAAAATAAACTTGAATATATGTTAACTGGGAAATTGTTAATAAAAGCCCATAAACTTATAAAACAACATTATAAATATCTAATCTAACTTACCTGCTTGCTAAAAATTTGCTTCTCCATACTTCACATTGACCTGCAAGCCATTCCGTTTGTTCCTGAAATTTGACAGGAATATAATTTATAGCCATAGAATATAATACAATATACGTAAACTGGCATTGCTGCAAATTCTATGAGGAAATTTTTGCCTGAAAGCCAATTCATTTACGTATAACAGGAATATTATTTCATGACTGACTTTTACTATTCAAGTTTATAATTCAATATATTATTTTTTTTTTGCCAAGTTTAGATACATATTAATATTACCACTAAGTGGAACTTCTACAATCTAAAAAACACTAACTAATTTTTGAAAAGGCAAATTTATTTGAAAAACTGTGAATAAGACAATTTGAGTTTTCTTACTTGGTGAGTAGACAGATGTTGGGCTGAATTAAGTAATGCATCAGCCAAATGTTTCTTATCTTCTGTTAATGACTGGACTTGAGTCTCAAGATCTTCTCCCATAGATGCTACAAGCATAGTTTTCAATTCTTTGTTTACCTGTCAATTACAGTTTTTAATCAATTTTTATTTGTTTTTACTAATTTTATATGGACTTAACAACTTAAAAAAGTGTTGAGTTTAATTGCAGCAAACTATTTATGTTGGAAGGCACAGCTGATCATCAAGATCAGTCTCATATTATACTTAATTATTACACGAAATATTATATGTGAACCTTAAGTGAGTAGAAAAGAGAAATCTAAAAAACTAACAGTGAACGTTAGTATTCAATTATTTTTATTCCTGGGAAACAAAAGAAACAGTTCAATTTATAACACACAACAAATTATCTGAATGTTGATGTCTCTATGGCCCTTATTATCAGCACTATTCTGGTATATTAGAGTATTAAAACAAAACCTAACCAAAACATACTTGTACTTGTTGTTTTAGCTGTTCACTTAAACTTTCGTTCTCTCTCATTAAGTCCTCAACCTTTTTTTGCATTTCATCAGTATAAGCTGGCTTCTCCTCAACTTTATCATTACTTGAAGTTGCATGTTTTAGTCTAGGTCTAAATTCATTAAGGTTAGTATTCATTTGTGACATTTGGTTCACAAGTGTATTTAAATCCATATGATTTCTAGACTTTTTAGTTGTTTTCGAAACAGATTTTGGATTTATTGGCTTCACTGCAGCTGGATATGGTTCATAAGGCACAAATTTGGGTGTTTTAGAATAAATGTGTTGACTTTTCTTTTCAGCAACAAAAGTTTTGGTAGCATAGACTTGAATTAGTCGACCTTTGCATAAAGAGTCCTTTTTTTTGTGTGACACATTGGAAATAGGTTTGTTTACAACTTTTGTCTCTATTGCATTTTCTTCAGACTCCATACCATCGCCTGCCGTCCTCGCTTTTCCCATTATTACTGATTAAATAACAAATATATCATGATATGATAAGAAAATGACACAAACAACTGTATCATTAAAAAGTATTATTGGTAAGTGAAAAGTTATTGTACTTACTATCGTTGATGATGTTATCCATAATAAGTTTAGATTTTAAACTCTTAGGGGATAATGTTTATTTACAAGACAAATTCTAAGCAATATGATTCCCTTTCCGATTTTACTTTACCTCTACTAAATCTGTGGTTTTTACAAACAATTATCACAGACCACGGGTCACAAACACTAAATGAGAGTTGAGACATGACACAGACTTACAATTATTTGGAACACTTAAAATGCAAATAATCCCTACAGATGTAAAATATCGTCGTTGATAAAAATATTGGCACGGAAATTAAAACAAGAAAAATTAACTATTACGGTTTATTTTTAATATTCGCTGAAATTGAGACAAGTAAGGCCATTACACAAGCACAAGTGTTGAGAGACGAACTTAGCAATAAAATTGAATGTATTATATTATGTATAAGGGAGCGTTCAAGTATTAAGTAACAAATTTTTTTTTTCCTTTTGTAAAACGTTACGATACGTGGCGGGGATTGAATTACGCGTTATTGTTAATATTTTTTTAGGTATAAAAACTTTAAAACACAAAATAATGGGAACTTTTAGGTATAAAGAGTCACTATGTGGTCACGAAACGTTTTACTATACTTGGGTACAGAAAAACGTTACGGCGCGTTAAATGAGGGGGGTCCAATAATCTCCAAAAATTGCGTGACGTGACGAAAATACTTGAAAAATTATTGCATCTAATCATGCAAAATTGTATTCATAAAGTAAGACTCTATTTTTTTATTGAAAAAAAAAAAAATTGAAGTAGGTTATTTTAATAAAAAAATTATTTAATAAATAATAAGTAGCTAAAGTTTACAATAAAAAACACTTATGCATTAAGTGTAGCTTCTAATTCACCATTTCCCTGAAGTTCTTTTATAATATCAAGACCCCCAATTAATTCTCCTTTAACATACACCTGTGGATATGTAGGCCAATCAGAGAAAACTTTCAAACCTTGACGAACTTCTTCATCCATTAAAATATCAAAGGTCTCATATTGAATTCTACAAGGAAAAATTTAAGGTTAAATATCAGCACACATTTTTATTCTAGTTAATACAGAAATATTTTGTAAGGTGTTGGTAAAAACTGTTGCTTACTTTAATAAAAAGGTCTGTTTTAATACCAAGACCTAAGGAATAAATAATCTATTTTGTGATCCTGACCTTAGGTTATCTCAAGAAAACTTTATCATATTAGTATTATACATGTATTAAATATAATTTGTCTAAACAAACATATCATATTATATACTTGTATAAAGAGTTATATTTACTAATAACCTAAGAGGTATCATCATCTTAGATATCAATAAAAAAGGTACTAATAGCCTGCTTACATTCTTACTTTATATAAATAATACTATATATGTTGGTATGTACCTACCATAGTAAGTTAAATGTATAAGCAAGAAATAACAATCCAGAAAGGTTCAGTTAATTATGAGTAGCCTAGATCAAACTATATACTATAAATACACCAGACATGTTACAGATTTTATAGTGATAATTAATTAATAGTGACATATACACACCCCGTTCCATTCAAAATTCCAATAAGTGTTTTACTGAACCCACACCTTGGAGCATCCCTTGTTCCTTTCATGAATATCATAACATTGTGTTTATTAATTAGGGTTTTTAATCTATCTTCCAGTGATTGTTTAGGAATTTCTTCACTAATTGCTTTGCCAATACTGTGAGTTTTCACTTTAGATGATATTTGTGCTACATCCACACCATCAACTCTATCAATTTGTTTGCTGTTTCTAAATAATATAACTGTTGGTACTGAATCTACCTAGAATGTTATATATTATGTAATAGTCATAAATTAATGAAAACTATCACATGTGCAGTGAAGATGCTCAATAGACATTAAAATAATATACCTAATCTATATATCCTTGATAGTAAAGGTACAGCACCAGTACATGTAGATAGGTATTGATAAGCAAATAATTTTAAAAGATAAAATTTACAACAACTTTGAATGAATTTATAACAATGGAGTAATAAATCAGTTATTATAGCATTAGAGTTATACACGTTAGATGCTATACATTTTTATTTGAAGTGTATGGATTCCAAACCTTAAATTTCAATGAAACCTCTGAAAGATTTTCAGCATCGCATACTCCAAATTGGCTACCACTTGAGAGTATTTCTGGCAATTTCAGTAATTCCTTCAGAACATCAGTAACTTGCTTGCATTGTTCAGCCCATTCAGCAGAAAAGTGAACTACGGTTAAACTTGATGATCTAAAATTAAAAAAAAAATTAGATGTTTTAGCTCACCGTGTCTTACTAATGGACCTTCAATTTAACGTATTAAACAAACCCTATTAAAGTGTTGAACTTCTCTACCGTGTCAACATTTGTGACCGACATTTCTAGGTTAGTTATTTATTTTATCTATGAAAGTTAACAGTATTCAATTAGGTTACTTGCTAAGAAAATGTTCTATAAATATTTTAAAACCAGAAGTCACAATATGACAATATTGCTTAAACCGGTCGCGACTGATTCAATAGTTCGAGAATCAAGTTCGTTTGGTCAAGATTAAACTGTTCTATACTTCTATGACAATTCTGCTTATTTTCTTGACTTGACAGTTTTAAGGTGTTTTTATATATAATATACATTTATTATATTATGTATTAAATATGTACTAGAAATGTAAATTTACTTCACAGACGAGTAATTTCCGCATAATATAGCATATAAATTTGCCACAGATAAGTAACTTGTACTTGACAGTGTACAAATGACACTGTCACACACAAGTTTGCATTTTGATAGGTAGGTATAGGACATAATAGGTAATATGAACAACGATTTTGATTAAGTTTTTCTGGAGATTTTGAGGTTACTAATTTTAAATATGAAATGAATTAGTATTACCGAATAAGTTATCAATTTCAGACATCCAGAAAAATAAATTCGTTGAAAATGGCTAGTGTTTCAACCGCCCCGGCACCTGGGATGCATCAAATCGACTTGTCGAAGCTTAATTTGAATCAGTTGGCTCAACTGAAGCAGCAACTTGATCAAGTAAAAATATACATGTTAAATTTAATACATTTTATACGTTTTATTTGTGTATGATTGTATTATTATCTCCAAAAGTCATGGTTTATGACCTATTATTTTCTTTTCTGCAGGAGCTGAACGTATTTCAAGACTCTTTACAAACGCTTAAAATAGCTCAACGGAAATTTGTAGAATCTGGTGAGAGTGTTGAAAAACTTAAACCAGAAACAAAGGGCAGAACCTTGTTGGTTCCATTAACAGGATCAATGTATGTACCTGGCACAATAGCCGATTCAGAGAATGTGATCATTGATATTGGGACTGGATATTATGCCCAAAAAGTAAGTAATTAGATTTTCATCTGACGATAAATATATTCTTCAAATATTCAGTTCCTTCATTTTAATCCCACATCATGTAGTTTACGTTATTCTTATTTCACTATGTATTTTTAAGGTATAAGTTGTATAGTTTTGTATTCTCTTTAATATTCTTATTTACTTATTGTTATAAATCCTATACCTACATGCTTGTTGCTTACTTGTATTTTGAGATAGCTTATTACTGCCTGTAACATAACCTGTTAAACTAAGTCATTTTTAATTTATCTAAATTGATAGTGTTTCTTGTTATTGAATTTATATTCATCTGTCCAATAAAGCATTAATGTGTAGTCTGAATCATTTAAACGGTTTTCCTAGCATTTCATTGCCCACTCTGCTTGACTTAATATTTTATGAGTCAGGGTTAGTGCTTGACTCTGACTCACTGACACACACTCAGATGCTTTCGACTTGATGTTTTTTATTATAATGAAGTTTGTATGTATTTGGTGTGTACTCTGTTTCCGTTCTTAGATTCCCATTTGGTTCATTTTGCATAAAGTCCTGGCTAATTGAGCCAGCCTAGCTCATTCCAAAAGCTAATTATCTATAAAATTAGCAAAAGCTTAAATCATACTTTAATAATTTATGTATTTCTTACAGAATGTTGCCGGAGCAAAGGACTATTTTGATAGGAAAGTGAAGTTTGTAACAGAGCAAATGGAAAAAATACAAGTCCTAGGAATTGAAAAAACCAAAGTGCGAGAAGCAATTTGTATGATGATAGAAATGAAAGTTCAAGCACAGGCACAGAATACATCAACATCATAACATTAATTAATAATCTCGATTTATTATTTAAATATAGTTTGCTTTGATAAAATTAATACATCCATTTAAATTCTCATTATGTTGATTTTTTTACAATGTAACTTGTGGATACATCTTATTTTAGTTGTGAGTTTGACAAAATAATGTTTTAAACAAACAAACAAAAACATTTTATGAATAACAATTAAATAAAGTTTTGGACATTTTGAATATTCCTCTAGCTTTGGAGTGTACTTTAAAACATGTTACTAAGTATTGTGGTTTATATATGTATTAAAATATTTAAAGCAACTTTCGTCGTCGTTTACTGCAGCATTTATTGCTATTTACAGAATTGTATAATTCAATGTTGTATGGGAGAATTTACGCATGTATAATCATAACTCACAAAATAACACTAAAGTTAATTTCCAATAACCAAACTAACCTTCTGTAAAGATTTTAAACATTTGCTTTGTGATATTTTATCTCATATCATCGTTCTATCAAATTACTTGTATTAGAAGTGTGACATTACTTATGCTTATTTAAAATAAAAAATATTAAAATTGAATATGCTGAGTTTTCTGTCCAATAAATGTATTATGAGTAACTGGAATCTCTGTCTATATTGACATTTGAACTAGCCAAAAATATATAAAAATATCCAAAGAACTCCAACATCACCAAACGGATGGAATAAAACGGATCTATCAAATTACTTGTATTAGAAGTGTGACATTGCTTATTGCTTATTTAATTATTATTATTATTATTATAGCCTCTATTCGGACATGCCAGTATTTTTCTTTATTTTTCGTATATTGTACTTTTCTTCCACTTTTGGGTGTCCGTTTGCCAGATGGCAAAGGCCTCCTCCAACCTTCTCCATTCTGGCCTTTCTATGGCCACTCTACCCCATGTTGTTCCCGCGACTTGTATAATGTCATCGTCCCACCTTTTTTGTGGTCTACCTCTCTTTCTCTTTCCATCTCTTGGGTACCATTGTGTGATTATTTTACTCCATTTGTCCTTTCCCCTGATCATGTGGCCTGCCCATTTCCACTTTTGTCTTCTTATTTTCAAAGTTATGTCCTGTACCTTAGTCTTTCCTCTGATGTTGCTACTCCTTACTTTGTCTTTTCTTTTGATCCCAGTCATGCTCCTTTCCATAGCATGTTGACATACGGAGAGTTTATTTGTTACGTTTTTTGTTAAAGCCCATGTTTCGCTCCCGTAAGCCAGCACTGGCAGGATGCATGTGTTAAATAATTTGCTTTTCGTTGAATTGTGTAGGGTCTTGTCTTTCATCACTTCTTTTAGGCTCCAATATTTTTTCCAGCCGTTTGCAACTCTTCTTTCGACTTCTTTGTTTCCGTTGTCGTCTGGAGACATCAGTTGACCGAGGTATAAATATTCTTCCACGTAGGGGATTTGGTTCTTTTCACTATTACAGGGTCTTTGTTGCCATTGGTCATGATTTTTGTTTTTTCCGGGTTTAGCTTCAATCCGGCCTTTGCACTTTCCGATGCTAGATCATTTATCATCTTGCTTAGATCAGCTGGTGTTTTTGCAAATAATACGATATCATCAGCGAATCGTAGGTGCGTTAGCGCGCGGCCATTAATAGTTATGCCCATGTCTCTCCATTCCAGATTCCTGAAGATCATTTCTATTACGGCCAGAAAGAGTGTTGGTGAAAGGGGGTCACCCTGTCTCACGCCTTTTTGTATTTGAAATTTATTTCCTTCTTTTTCTAGGCGGAAACAAGCCGAACTGTGTTTATAAATATTTTTTATAATTCTTATATATATTTGTGCTCTATACCCAGTTCCTTTAAGGCTTCCCAGATTTTTGAGTGTATCAAAGAATCGAAAGCCTTACTGTAATCAATAAAAGCTATGTAGTATACAAGCTGGTACTCATTGTATTTTTCTCTAATTTGTCTTACAGTGTGGATGTGGTCTAGCACCGAGAAATCTTTACGGAATCCTGCCTGTTCAATGGGTTGTTGCTCATCTAATTTCCTTCCTATTCTTTCCAAAATAATCTTTGCAAAAATCTTGTAAATGTTAGACATTAGACTGATGGGTCTATAGTTTCCAATATCGCAGTGATTCCCTTTCTTGAATATAAGGATTATGATGGATTCAGTCCACTGTTTTGGGATGATTTCTGTGTTGATCACGTAGTTGAAAATTTCTGTAAGTATCGGTGCAACTGCTACTTTCGTTTGCTTTAGTATTTCATTGCTTATGCCATCTGGCCCTGGAGTTTTATAATTTTTCTGTGTGTCAATAGCTTTTTCAGTTTCTTCCTGCATGATGTAAGGTACCGTTTCGTACTCTGGTAAGTCTATTTCTCTTTTATTTGTGTTATTTTTGTATAGTTCGGTGTAGTAGTCAGTAGCGATCTTGAGTATTTCTTGTCTACCAATTTTCTTCGCTCCTCTTCTCTTCTCGATCTTTCATCTTAACAATCCATTCTTTCTTGTTAGTTAGTTCTTTGTACGCCTTCTTTATTCCTCCTGTCTGTCTAATATGTCTCTCTATTGTTTCCATACGATGTTGTCTCCTGTCTTTCCTAATGTTTTCTTTTATTTCTTTACTAATTCTTGCAATTTCTTTTCTATTTTTACCAGTATTTTTCGCACTTATTAGAACTGCTCTTTGGTTAAGGAGGTTGACGGTTTTTTCTGTCATCCTGTTGTATAGGTTCTCTTTCCTTTTGCTATGTTCTTTAGTAGTGGTTGCAATTTTATTTTCCAACCAATTGTATTTGTCCTGTGTGTCGGCGTCTTTTGTTTCATATTTGTAGTCTTTAAGTTTCGAGTTTAGTGAGTTGGCTATTTCTCCTATCAGATGTTTGTTAATTTTTATATTTTCCCGACTTATTTTTGGTCTGGGGTTCTTGGGTTGGGATGAGTTTAACTCAGCTCTGACCATGCGGTGGTTGGTGTTAAAATTTAGGTTATTGATGACATTTATGCTTGGAAAGAATTTATGTTTGTTGGTCAGTATAAAGTCAATTTGGTTTTTTGATTTTCCATCGGGTGACAACCAGGTCCACATTCTGTTTTTCTTTTTCTTGAAGACGGTGTTTAATATGGTCAAGTTATTTTCCATTGCAAAGTCCATGAGCATTTTTCCATTCCTGCTTCTAGGTTTTGAGCTGTATGTATAGGGCCCTATAATTGCATCCTCGTCCCGTTGGCGTTCGCCAATTTGACCATTGAAGTCACCCATCACGATGATATTTTTGTGGGCATATGTCTGCAAAGCTTTATTCAAATCTTGGTAAAACTGGCCAATTGTTTCCATATCTGCTTGTTCTGTAGGTGAATAGATCTGGATAATGGTCCATGGGTCCTTGTAATCGGGTAGTTTTAAATTCAATAATGCTATGCGCTCTGATACACCATGGAATCCATCTATGTGCTTTGCTAGGTATTTTTTAACTAAAAATCCCACACCATGATTTCCTGGGGTTTCCCCTATATGATATAGTATAAAGTCTGGGTGTGCGACAATGTTTTCTCCCATTCTTCTCACTTCACTCATGCCGAGAATATCCCAGTTAATGTTTTGTTTCTTGTCTATTGACTTTTGTCTATTGACAATTCCGATAAGCTTTCATCTGATCTTAGTGTTAATACGTTTAGGGTAGCAATGTATATTCTTGTGTATCTGGATGTTGGGATCTTCGTGATGACGTTTTGCTTGGGTAGAGTTTGTGTAATGTTTTCTTTATTATGTTGTTGTTGTTGTTGGTTCAATGTTGGAGGGTTTTGGTCTAATTCCCCACGGGGACCAGCCGGGTTGGGGAGATAATTGTTTTCGAAGAGTGTGTTATTGTCAGTTGGTTCCTTTTGTTTTCCAGTTGGTATTGTATTAGTGTTGTGTATTGTTGATTTCTTCAGTGCTTCTGGCTTGCTATTCTCTAGGGCGAAACGGCTGATCTATTTTGTTTATTTTTTTGGGTGCTCTTATAGTTTCTACCAAACTTTGATTGTCAGTGGCTGATGGTGATTCTGTTGGGGACCGTTTTCTCTTTGTTTCTAAAGGTGCTTTTTCCTTAACAATGAGTTTGTTATACCGAATAAAAGCAATTTTTCCGTTTTTTTCTTCTTGTTCTTTCCGTTGTCTCAGTTCCTTTCTTATTTGGATAATTTCCTTCGGGTAATCTTCGGTTGCATGTATATTTGTCGGGAAATTTTTATTGTTTTTTAGAAGTTCATATTTCCGCCAATTTAAAGCAAGGGTTATAAGTATCGGTCTCTTTTTGTCATTCATTTTCTTGCCTAGCCTTCTCATGTTGCTGATCTCCCATTGATCCCACTCCCGCATCCCATCAGATCTTAAACTGGTTTCATTCAGCACTTCTAACACATTTTTCCAGAGCTCACTTGTACTATGTTCATTTTCTGCCATCCCGTGTAATATTATGTTATCTTTTCTCATTTCTCTTTCAAGATTTTGTATACGTGCATGGGAAGCTTGGAGATCTTGTTTCAGCTTTTTGTTATCCTCAACGAGTGGGCTTAATTTTTTTTCTATTGTTTGCAAAAGACTTTTGTTAAGATTTTCAGCTAGTTCCTGTGTTTGTTTCTTCAAGTCTAGTTTCATTTCCTCCATTTTTTCTAATATAATTTGCAGTTGGGAATCCATTTTTTTTTTTATGTTTTTTTATAGGTAGCTTGCAATGGGAAAATGTTTCTTCTGGGGTATTTAAAATTTCAAGCTGGCAACACTTTTTTGTTGTTGTTGAGCTGTCAGATTGCGAAATAATGATGTATCACTTTTTATGTTTACAAAACTTAATGTTTAAAAAACTTGTACTAAATCGCTGTTTACACAAGAGGTAATGTTCACTATTATAACTTATAATGTTGAGTATCGAATGACACACTTTTTAGTACAGATCAACCACTTTTTCACTAGATTTCAATTTTACAACTGAGAGTGTTTTTACGACGTGTTAACTGTTTGACAACCGGAACCGGAATCTTTGCTTATTTAAAATAAAAAATATTTAAATTGAATATGCTGAGTTTTCTGTCCAATAAATGTATTATGAGTAACTGGAATCTCTGTCTATATTGACATTTGAACGAGCCAAAAATATATAAAAATATCCAAAGAACTCCAACATCACCAAACGGATGGAATAAAACGGATCTATCAAATTACTTGTATTAGAAGTGTGACATTGCTTATTTAAAATAAAAAAATATTTAAATTGAATATGCTGAGTTTTCTGTCCAATTAATGTATTATGAGTAATTGGAATCTGTTTATATTGACATTTGAACTAGCCAAAAATATCCAAAGAACTCCAACATCACCAAACGGATGGAACTAAACGCGGACTGCAGACAGTTCAAAATGGCACTGCCAGCAGTTAACCCGCTAGTGAGAAAGCGAATTCTAATCCTCAACAGAACTAATCTCAAAATAATGATAGGGACAATCACGGGCCACTGTCTCCTTAATACACATCTCTTTGCCCTAGGCGCGACCGACAGTCCCTTGTGCAGAGGAATCAGTCACCCACGTTCTCCTGGAGTGCATGGCTGTATCTTTCCAACGAACAAAAATACTCGGAGCAGTGAGGCTGCTCCGTGAATCCTGCGAAGTGCCCAGGAGACTTCTGAGCTTCTGGAAGGAACTAGGCTGGCTTAGTTAGCCAGGACTAGGACAGCACAACGTACCAAATGAGCGTCTAAGTGCTAAATTGAGTCCACACTACATACACACATGCATACTATGCATATTGATCATATTATTGATTTACTTTACTTTTTTGAAGTTGTACTTCTTTAGGCGCGTTATGAAAAATTGATGAGAGTGAAATTTTACGATTGCGCGCGCACCTATGACACAAAATTGGCAGTGTGATATAGCGTGCGCGAGCGAGATGGGAATAAGACAAACTACAAGTAAAAAGAAATAGAATATGCGTGAAGCTAACTTCACGCATATTCTAGCTTAGCAGCTTAACAAGAATTTTGAATGACCATGACAATTGACATCTGACAATGACATTTACCTTTTAAACAAATATAGGAGTTTTAATTATTGTTTAAAATTAATAATTATATACCTAGTTATTTTCATTATACAAAATATTTGTGAAATAATATAAAATATTTGTGAAAAAACTGTGCTAACCTTCCTGAGTGCTTCAATACAATTGAGGTTAACTATCCGTATGTATTATCGAGTATTATTGTTGATTAAAACTGAAACATGAACCATTATTCATTGCTTTTGTTTATTGCGTTTGTTACAGCAACTTTTTAGAAATATTCTACGACCCTATATATCAATAATTGAGAACAAAGATTTAAGCACGAATACTAATAAGGAGAAAATGAAGGCTTGGAGCGATATAACAGAGAAGTAAACATTTTAATAAGTACCTGCATCTCAAAAAAATGACCACATTATTTAATCAAAACATCAGATTTAATCTAGCAAATATAAGGACAAGAGACAAAAAACAATTGATGAATCAGTGGAAGTGCACTAAATTGAATACAAAAAAAGAGTTGTCATCTTATCGCCGTGAAACATCAAAAACTGGAGGTGGAACAAAGCCACCATCACCTTCTCGAGACACAATGGTTTGAAGTAGATTTCAATGAATTTGATTGTGATGGTGTCGAGGTAGGAATGTTAATTATAAATATGATGTATGGTGATGTTCAAGGTTCAACCTTTCAAGCATAGGCATATGCTTACAACATTACTTTATTCCCCTACAGGGTAGTTAGAGATATTGTAATACCTCAAAACATCCATGTTGCACTTGTAGTACCGAAACTCTGTCCTGCCAGAAGTGAGCCCATTCCCACTTATAATGGACAGTGGGTATAATACACCTTAATACCTGAGTGCGAACCACTCACCATGATACTTAAATTAATAGATGTTATTTATATATTTCAGGTTATTACAAATAAAATCATTTTGGAAACAATTGATATCCCAAAAGCAAATAAAGCCAACAATGACAAGGTAATAAATCAGTTTTGACATAACTTGAATACTAAAAAAGCCAAACAAAGGTGTGCACAACAGTGACAACATAACTTAACAATTTCATTATTTTGTAGGATTAAAGAAAGGTTAAAGAAAATCATGTCGAACTGAACAACAAGAATCCCCAAACAACTCCAAAGAAACCTACAAGGAAGACACCGGTATTATATTTAAATTATCTCTATCTCTAAATAGAATAAAAGAAAGTTGCTATCCAGGTCTGTAGCATGTGCTACAAATTATATTATTAACACATTTATATAATTATATTAATATAAATGTGTTAAAAAATTTATAATATGAATTATAAAAAATTTTAAGTTTTGCATGGACAGAGCTTAAATTAATATTCTCTTATTTGTTGCAGAAAGCAAGTAGTTTTGGAGAAGCCTCGTAGATGCACAACCAAGTAATGATTAATTTAAAATTACAAACCGAAATTCTGATGAAGACATTAGAGTCACTTAAAAATAAATAGTATAATGAAATAAAAATGTTTTAAAGATAAATAGTGTTTTATTTGTTTAATGTAAGAGAATAATAATAAATATTTATTTAATTAATTTTTCAAATGTAAACTGAACTTTATTGACTTTAATGACTCCTTTTCCAGTCTTTGATTATTTAATTTGGAATTAATTATTTGCATGCAATCAAAAACTATTTTTAATAATGCCAAAGAAGTATAACTTCTTACGCGCGTACATAAGTACACGCACCCTTTTTTTTATAAAGAGTACACGTCAGCTTGACGCCATTTAATACAAGATTGTATATCTTCAGAGTGCTAAAACCCCTACGATATTAGCCAGCTGTAGTGTCAAAAAAGGATAAATAAACAACATGCGACACCAAATTATTTATTTTTTAATAGGCCAAAATGATAGCACTGATATCTACATACAATGTTTAGCTAGTAACTATAATAATCATATATCTACAATGTCTTACATTCACAAATAATATAAACTAAATAAGGCAACGACTATCTTCTTTCTTAATACATATACGATAACATATTTTCGAAAATAATAAAATATTAAATATAACATGTATCAAAAAGCTTCACCAAAGATTTAACTGAAGCAAATGAAAAAAGTGTGGGTCGTCGTGAAATACGGAGATTAAGTGAAAAACTGTAACCAAAGTGAAGTATTTAAAAAAAATTACTGTTCTATAAAACCGTGACCATTTCAGGCCCATAATTTCCGTAGAATTTATATAACTTGCAAAGTAACCACAGCTAACATGTTTTTATTGTTGTGGTTGTACATAACATGATAATATTAACAGTGATAGTTTTACAACTACTATGTTTTTTGAGTAATTTTTGAGATCATATAGCTATTTAAAAATCCTTGAATAGTTTATTATTAACCTGCACAACTGTGATGTAAATTATTTACTATACTATGATAAATTTAAAACTAGAAATAGGCTTGTGTATTTACAATTTCATACATGATTACAAAGTAGTTACAGCGAACTGTAAGTTTTACATAAATCATCTAACCAGAATTTAAAGGCATGAAAGTTATTATTTCCCCTCTATTTATGGACATTAAAACCGGCCCATCGAAGCACAGGAGCATATCAATTTAAATGCATTGGTATTTTATAACTGTGTCCAATATTCTTTAATACGAAAGGCGTTACACAAACAAATTACTCGCCTGTTCGGCGAAGTCCTTATCTCAAATGGTGTAATATTCTGGACCAAAATCGTTAGCGAGGTTGCTTAGAAAGTGGAAATCAGATGAAGAGTTAGAATTATCACCTGTCGCAGGAGCGGCATGGGATGCTTCGTAAAACTGTTGAAAGGAGCTATAGTTATCGTTACATTCATTGGCACCAGCGTATCCTTCTGCGCCAGCCTGGATACCTGTGTATGATCCTGTACCAGTCCCATTGCTTTGGCTTCCTGATTGATAAGTAGCTGCGTCGTAAAATGAACTTTTACCGTAATCATTACTATGTGCTTTCTGTCCGTCGCCAACATAATAACTATGGGTATGGTCATTTGGACTACTTTCTTGGTAATGATATCCGTAATGGCTATTGGCGTATGCCATGTGTTCGTTTGGATATGCTTGAGCTTGATCATAACCTGGATGTCCATATCCAACTTGTTCTTTGTTGTAACCAGAGTACCCATAATTTTGATATATCTCATGAGGATAGGCCTGTTTTGTCGATATTCCGTTGGCAGGCCTCGTTGTCGGTGAGTTGTCTTGTCTAGCATTTTGATTGTTCCGTGAGTACGGGTTTTGTTCATTTCCTTGTAAAGCTGTAGCATAGCTATCGTATGATCGACTACCTTGAGAATACTGTGTTAATTTACCTACGAATTGCTTGCTGTCCATACGGAAATCAGGATGTGGTAGAAACTGGCCTGGAGGAGCATTGCCTCTGATGACGTAGGGAGGAAGAGCATTTGGAACCGATTGGTGAGGAGGTCCGGGTGGAACGTTTGGCGGCGAAGGTCTCGGATAGTGTCCAAGGGGACTTTGATGCATACTAGACGGTGTGCCGGGTGTTGATGATGGTGTAAGGTTCACAGATGAAAACTTTCCGCCATCTGTCAGGCCCGCCATGCCCATGAGCCCATCTTTAGAGGACGATGGAGATATTTTGCAACCAACGGCGTCCAGAGATGGCGAACGTTTCCGTGATTCCTGTTTTATTCTCTTTGCTAAATTTCTAGGGACTGTTGAGACATTAGGAGGATGTGAATCTCTCGAATCTTCTTCGGCTAGTTTGTCCAGAGATGAAGAAGATGCTACACTCGAAGCACCGTCGCTAGCAAAACTATTGTTGTTGGTAGCACTTGGCGTGTTATTATTTCTTGTACGCGATGTTAGCTCGGGTATATCTTCAGTAGGAGATAGTAATGCGCCGGGAGGAAGTTCACAACCCTGGCAGCTCTTCTTTCCAGATAGAGGGCCATCATCATCTGTAAACTTTTCCATGCCCGTTTTGCTCTTGCCCCCTTCAGAGGTAGTTGAGTCTTTGTCATCGCCATCTTCACTTTTACTTAATGTTTGTCTTTTATGTTTCATGCGCCTGTTTTGAAACCATACCTTGACCTGTAATGAAAAAATGTTTTTTAGCAACCTTCCATAAGTATCAGCCAACTTAAATCGATATACCTACTTAAACAATATGCCCTACTATTTCTATTGAGGTTTTCAGTTGGTATATCTTTATTATTTATTCAATTGAATATTATTGATTCGAGTAATATGTTTTTATTATTGTGGTTATTTACCCTAAAAATCATATTTACAGTGATAGCTTTACAACCATTTTCTAAACTGTTACTAGACTGTTACCTAGAATATCTAGGACATGAAACTTACCTGTCTCTCTGTAAGGTCAAGGGAAGCAGCTATTTCAATTCTTCTCGGCCTGCATAGGTACTTATTGAAGTGAAACTCTTTTTCTAGTTCTAAAAGTTGTGTATTTGTATATGCTGTGCGTAGCCTTCGGGGTAGTCCATTTTCTGTAAAATAAATATTGTAATATAAATAAGATTATTAAATTTATTTGCAACTGCAAAATCGAGCTTTAGCGAGACAATTGAAGGTGAAATTCAAAACTAAGGATTTCTGAAATGGCGGTTTTGGCAAACTAATAAATTTTACTGAATTAATTTCAATATTAAAATGTTCCTAGCAATAACTAGCCAAAATAGGAAGCGGGTCTTGGGTTTCTTTAATGTAATAACTTGATCGCATGTCAGAGCACCGCCCTTGACGCCATTGTGTCGAAACTGTATTTTTACCACAAATACGAATTGGAATTCGAAATTCAAATTACAAAGGGCGGCGTATAATGGGGTGATCGCGTTCGCGTGACAATTCCGCAAGGCGCGCGTGTTTTGTTATAATTCGGGCGTTCGTTCTTCCCTGTGAAGGATTAGGGGTTATTATAGTTTGTACTACTTCCGATATAACTTTGTCTTTAGTCAGAGCTTGATTGACGTTTCGTCGAGTTGCGCATTTTCTATTGGGCAGAGCTAGCTGTCAATCAAACAAGCACCGCTTTTGGTTCCAACTGTAGATTTGGAGCCTACCCTAATCTGGTATATTGTATAGGGTAACACTTATGTGTAACTTTTATTAAACACGAAGTATGTATTATCTTTCATTGAAAATTTTGTTATTCGAGTATGGTTTGTATGGAGGATTATTTATTGAAGGTATGTTGAAAGTTCTAAGTACTTAAGTAAATTACCAGTTAACTGGACCTGAAACCCGATAGCCCTTGGTCACTTACAAGTATAATTATTACGGTTCAACTAGTACAGTCGCTGAAGTAAGATCGTTTGTAAATATTAAACTTACGTAACTATGAGAACAAGTATAAGCTTAGAACTTAATAATGAAAAGCTTTTTTTCCTTAATATTGAAAAGTTGTATTAAAAATAACTTAGCAATATATTTTAAGTTATATTTTGATTTTAGTAGTACGTAATAAAGTTGAAGATGTATAGTAGAACGCACATTAATACGTTTATAAAAATATAAATAGACCTTTAAATGAAAATATACACTAAATTTTTTATTTAATAAAATAAAATTTAACATTTCGACGCGGCTGTCCTTATTTGAGAAGTGCAAGAGAAGCGTGGCAGTGGCAAGTTTTTGCTAATAATGGATGGTATTATGCGAGAGGTGCGCATAATGTGAGCATTATGGGGTTGTCCCCGCTTCCGTGTCAGTGAACTTCATAGATTTACGGATACTGATATTTTTTGTCGATCCTCTAAAGCGCTTAGTTAAGAATTCGCATTTTTATTTTAATGTTCCGTTTGTTAACACATGCGAAATAGAAACGCATATGTCGTTTTAAAACGTAGATAAGATTATAAAATATACTAGATGACCCGGCAAACCCATGTATATTATTTCTAGGAAAAATTTTTTAGTTCAATAAAAATAACTATCTACAATAATAAAAAATAGGGGTTGATCGTAGATGGGTGAAAATTCGGGGTTGTATGTATTTGTTGTAGGGGGAGGGGGGGGGTAGTTGTAACATTTTAATAAATAATTGAATATCATGAAGTGTATTGGCTAAATTACTACTAAATAAACTTTGATGGATACTCTAACTATTTATCTATGAAGTCTAATGGAAATATTATCAAATCTACAGGCAACTATCTCACAATTATAATTTTTTTTGAAAAAGGGGAAGTGTTACAACTTACCCCGTGGTTGGGGCTAGTTGTAACAACAAAAATGACACCTTCAATTGTTTAATTTTTTCACATCTTGGACCAATTTGCTTTGTATATAACAAAAAACTAACTAGGTATTTCTATAATGTGTTTTTTATGAAATAGTTAACTGGACAAAAAATATAATCAACAAATTAAAGATTTAAGATTTTAACTATATTTCTTATTCTGTACTGAAAGTATATATATATAAGGTACTTATATCATGTCATGAAGTATATAAGGTACTTATATCATGTCAACATGGCACTTATTATACATCCATGCAGTCTGTGCTCTGTTCACATAGTTTTTAAAAGGGCCGTAGACTCCCACATCTCCTACAGGTTGCAAATTGAACTGGGGGGGGGAAAGGGGGGGAAACTATAATATGATAACATTGTTTTCTTTGGCTTTTTCGACAGCTGCAATATTCACATGTGAGCCATGGTAATCAAGCAGTAAAGAACTGGGGCCCTTTCTTGGTAGGTTTCGCGTCTTTGATAAAATGATCTACAAAAATCAAAAATTCTTTATCATCATCACCCTGAAGAAATACCGCTCAATGCAATCTTGAGGTCCACCGCGAATGAACATTTCTGATATTTCGCCGGGGAAAATGAACATCGGCGTCAGTAACTTACAGCAATCTGGGGGAAAATTGTAGGACATGTTACAACAAACCCCGAGGTTTTGTTACAACTAGCCCCTTGATATAGTTCTTAATATTTATCACGATAACTATTAAATCAACTTAGTAATCTTGAAAACTGTTATAGAACATCATAAATAGTTATATTTTAGCATAAAATAAAATACATAAAACTTCAAAGCTTAGAAAAATAGTGAAACTAACCAAAATTTACGTTAGTAAAATTATAGGTTACCTGTCAACAATAAAGCGTTTGCACACACCCACTCACTGAGCCGCCTGGCGGGCCCTTGGCTGTGGTAAAGTGGCGTGGCACGTTATAAGTTTAAGACTGGGTAAAAAAAAACGTGAATAAAATTCAAATGCCTATTGAAAAAGGTCTGTTACTATTTACCCCTGTTACAACAAGCCCCACCCCCTATGCTGTAAAATATAAAAAAAAACCAAAAAGTTTTGTCTAAAAAATAATAAATAAACATTTAGGGGTGAGACCACCCTTAACATTTAGGGGGATGAAAAATAGATAGTAGCCGATTCTCAGACTTACAGAATATGCATAAAAATTTTCATAAGAATCAGTCGAGCTGTTTCGGAGGAGCATAGGAACGAACATTGTGACACGAGAATTTTATATATGTATTAGAAGATAAAGAGAGGATTGAAAAAAAATGTAGTTGCTCATGACATAAAGGAAATATTTGCGCCATATACTATGTTAGATAAGCATTTCTTAAGAACTGATTTCCAAGTATCCGTTAGTATTATTTATCAAAGCAAAAATGAACCTCTTCTAAAAAGCTCTTGATGTAAATACAAATGTTTTTCAGACAAATGGTTCGTTGTCGTGTAGAGCAAGTGGGTAATAAATGGTTTTGGAGTAGCGATGGCTTGTTTGACCCTCGCGCCCGGATCAAAGATTTACTGCGAATTAAGGGTCACTTGCATCTCGAGGTGACACCGTGTCCGCACTTAATTTGATAATATCGCTTTACCCATGTTAGGTGGATTTATGACTTCATTGGTTACCTGGTACCATATATGAGATAATATGTAGATATGTATACATGATGAGTTATTTCTCTGAAAGGCTATAAAATATCCTAATGTGCAGAAATTTAATAAACAATTTCTAATTCTAAGTTATAAGAGCTTTTTGGTCACTAGGCATTATTTGCACAAATAGTTGTTGTACAATTGAAATATAGGTAACATTACTGTTATACATTTCGAGAATAATGTATTGTACGTCCGTAAACATCTATCTAGTTCATAAATACAAGTTCGTAGTTGCTAAAACTTTCCAAAGAATACGGCGCATTGCTGAGAAGAGCCCCAAAGGCAAGTTTGAATAATTAATCAACAGCCAAAAGGATTAATGTGGTGGCCAGTTGGCGGTTGGATGCCATTAGTACGTTCGATGCCCGAGTGCCGACTAAATGTTGTGGTCACATTATTTGTGTCGGGTTTAGAAACACATGGTGAAGGGCTGAAATAACGAATACTTAATTTATTTTACTCTACGATACGGTCTTGCCATTTGTTACTGTGCTATCAGAATAAATCAAAGTGTGAATTAACTAATTCTTGTTTTTTTACCAAAGCTGCATTGTTTTTATCCTGAAATATATAGTTAATACCTATGACAAAACACACAACTGGTATTTTAAGGTTTTAGTAATAATTACCCATACGAAAACATACGCTGTGCCATCCAAGGATAATTGAAATACCCATATATATTTATTAAAATTTTCCACCTTAAAATTATGTAATATATATCTAATACATATCAACCATTAAAATTCCTTTTCTGACTGCAATAAAGAGGCCGACGAAAATAGTAGATCCTACATAGTAGTTACTTTAATGCATTCAATAAATTACAAAATAGAGCTGGTGTAACCCGTGGCAAAGACTGTCATATTCTGACTTCGGTTTGATAAAGCACCTAACATTTATTTTGAATGTTACTGCAACAGAAAAGTTTCGTAAGGGAGCGCGTACAAGAAGAAATATTACGTTATGAGGTGTGAAAGACATGAATGAGAAAAATCAATAAGTGTAGGCATTCTTTTCGGGACATGAAATTAGGATTTATTGAGCATTATGAGATCGTATTATTTCTTTAAGTTTTCATAATATTCATTTGATATAAATTAATTCTATTACGTTAAGGGCACACATAAAATTACGAAAACCTATTAGATTTCGATATATACTTTTTCTCAGAGTCTATTATATCACCCCTAAAGCGGGCCATAGACGGACCGCATGTTGCAGTCAAGACCGACTGCAATATGCGGTTTGCTCAGGAACTGCTCGAGCGGTCCGTGTACCTATTGCGAATATGAATTTAGTATAGAAACTGCAGATCGCCGTGAGGCGACCGCTTAGAGCAGTCGGTATCGGCTGCAACATGCGGTCCGTCTATGGCCCGCTTAATAGTTCATTTATTTATTATTATTATATACATAGTTTATAATAGTATGATGGAAATACAAACTATATATAGTTTTTCTGTCCACCAGGACGACGAAAAAATTTTCAACATATATTTACCAATGATAGTACATTCTTCACGCAACTCAACAAAATAATTACTATTGTGCACGCTGCGAAGATAGACATACATTACAACCAACCAAGAAAACATAGAGAGATATTTTATGATGATCTCATTAATCATATTTCTATATTTAATTTTGGTATTACTTAATTCACTTTATTGGTGTCGAAAATTTTAATAGTCCTACTGATGTTGTATGTAAAATGTAAAAAAATAGGTATTTAAATCCCGATAGAGTCAATTCAAAGCATGTCCTTATTTCGATCGATCATTATGTTGGATCCGCATTTTTCTGATTATCTAGAGCTGCTGGATCCCACTTGACATTGTCGCATCAATTATAAGCGTGGATTACGAGTAGACAGATCTGAGGCGTTCAATTTCGCCGGTGTAGGGTAGTGTGCGCATCGAGGATTGATAATACCGATAGTAAAACCTCTTTAAATTCAAACTTGAATAGGGAAATATATTTTTTCTGCGAACGCGTAATTAACGTGGTTGACTATCGCCAAAACAAGTGTAAAGAATGTAATTTTATGTATTTTGTCACACCCAAATACGTACATTGTCACATTTAGATGTGGTTTTTCGTATATAAGGCCAAATTACGAAGGGTCTAGTCAAAAGTCGCGGTTAAGTAAACTTTGGTCAGTTAGTTATGAGTACAGTTGCTATTAATTTAATGTGACGGTTGGCGAACTAAAATTATCTTCGTAGGTATCAACTGACAGCCAAATTAAAGATTATCTCTAGTTACTAGAAATATTTTATGTAGCCATTACGTTTAAAAAAGTTAGTCATTATGATAATAACTATATGCAGACGTATGCAGGTCTTCTAAAGGGATGTTTTTAATTAACATAAATGATCCATTGCTGATATTGTCGTTATTCAAACTGGATGCGCTAAATTTTATAAAATATGACTCCTTTTTGATCTTATTTTCTGTAATTATTTTATATGAGTGCTTTCGTTGGATTATAAATTCGAATACAATATTAGATAGGTACTATAATTTTATAATAATTAAGGACTTATACACACTATAGACAATAGAAGATAGTTTCTTAAAATTCGTGGTTGAATGAATTATTGCACGGTAATTGAACTAAAACTTGATTATGTCCTTAACTACAGTTTGTAAACATTAAGTGAACGCGTAACGGATCCCAAATCCATTTGGCTGATACAGCAGGTTATTAAAAGTTGTCGCACAGACGGTGCAAGTTTGTCAGAGTTTGACAGGTTGTCTCCCGGGAACCGGCTTCGACGAGGAAATTTCATTAATCGAAAAGTAGCATTTGACTGTATTGTTGGATCTAGGGAAAATTGTTTTGTGTTTAGTTTGAAATGTTTAAGAGTGTTTTGTTTGATTGAAATAATTTAGCGATTGATTGATTATTCTATTTTTGAATTACAAAATAAAAAATCTGTCTTAATATACCAGCAGCATGGTCGATGTTTTTTTTTAAAAATAATAACACGTGTATCTGTAAAATACTAATTTGTGATTAAAATTAAAAGTCAGGTGAAACTTGAGGTATTTAATGTTATTTTACGGATATTTGGTATCATTTTTTAATTCAACAACATTTATTTGAGCAAAACACCAAACACTAAATATCTTTATTTTTAATTCAAAAGGTATCTTACGCGACTTTTATATCCAAGGGGTTGATAATAAAGACGCCACTCTAAGAATATGCTAAATGCTTAAGTCTGGTGGTATTTAATTGCCCTTGAAAGGGGCGACAAAAAATAAACGACTCGGGATATAAATAACGGTGCACTTTTCATAATCGCGATTGTCGCCGGGAGAATATTTAGTGCGCAGTAAAGGCCTGATTACGATAGGGGAATTTTAATAGTTCAATGTTCTTATTGACCTATTCATTTAAACGTTAGTGTTATTTTGTAAAATCATTGCCTAAAAATATTACTACATATTTTGTAACGGAATCCGTATTGTATTCGTAATTATTTAACGCCATAATTGAAAATATTCAATTTTGGTAGACCTCGTTTTGTTTAGAAAACAATATTTTTAAACTCAGATATATAGATAAATTTCAACTTCTAATACCTGTATTTTTGCGTGCAACACGGTACAAGATGAAATTTAAATGAACTTATAAAGAAGGTGTAAGTTCTTTCCAGCGTTCAGATTTCGCTCGTAAAACAAAACAAATTGTAAGAAAGAAATCGTTTATAGGAATTTAAAAGTCACAAAGAAGGCAGGGCGGCGAGGAATAAATTGTATTTATCAAATAAAAAGGATGGTGCGGTCGTTTTTCACCGCACTGGGGACATTATCGCTTCTTTTAATTATTATCCCGCCAATATTTTCTCGAATATTTACTATGCCTTATGCTTTTTAATTAAAATTATAATCTAAATGTATTAATGTTGAATACTTTGTACACTGTATTTATCTGAACAGTATCTGTGTTCATTTTGTATACTTATTAATTACATATGGACACGCTTAAAATATACTAAGTGCCTTAAGTGCTCAAATTGTGATTTTTAGTTTATATTGGCCAAAAAGTTTATAGTATGTGCGGGAAGAGATATGCTTTGATAGCGTTTGTCGTAAATAATCGATCATTACAACATAGAAATAAATGTAGCAAATGTTTTAATTCGTTGCAGAATGGGGTGGTCACCCCGTGGCCTCAAGGAAATGAAGGAAAAAAGCGTCGGAAGCTGCCACCCCAAAGCCACCGTGGTTGCGGCTTTATAAATGGAAATTTATTGTTAAACACTCCGTCAATGCGTTACAACCTAAGGATGTTTACTTAGTTTACTTTGTAAGCCTACTTACGATATATAGGTTAGGAAATATTTATTTAATAAACAAACTCATTATAAGCTTCTGTTGAAGTGATTAGATTATTCAAAAGTTAGCTCAGTCAAACGATGATTTCATTGAGTCCGAATTTATAATCACTTCAAAGATTCGGTAGGGTTAAAGTATTGTAGAAGGAGAATGAAGTCCATAAAATTCACTCAAACTGAAAGCTGGCCCCACAATTGAAAAGCGCGAGGGTGCGGCGAGCAGATAGGGCACTTACTGTAAAAGTTAAAGCTAATTGCCCTTAAGACATATTTTTAATTTCATTGCCCGTTCCTTCTTTCTTAGTATTTGGAGTTCACTAACTCGCGGTATAACCGGGGCGGCGAGTAATTGCCATTTTTACAAGATAAGGTCAATGTTTAAATGTCAAAAATTAGACAACTACGATTTCTTAACATAACTTTTCATTGCAAAACATTATATTGATCATATGTTTTATATATGAATTTACGTCACTATAACAGAAAATCTAATAGAAAAAGATTGGTAAATGTATTATTATTAGATATATTTAGGGGAGCGTGATGATTAAAATCTTCGAACGAGCATCTTTAAATATAAAAAAAATAAAAGCATATCATACCTAGAATCGTTTTATTCATATTTTACAATGGTGGTGATGAGAGCACGTGGCACAAAGCGG